ACTCATTACGAGAAGGTCCAGATGCTGTTGAGTGACCGATTCCTTGGCTTTTACATGGTAAGTTTGCTAGTCTTGTGGATTATTCAGTTGGATATTTGATTGCTGCTCCCGTCCCATGTTTCCTGCATCTCCCTGCTTCTTTCCATGCCACTTAAGTCTAGAACTGAATCTAAATGTAACTTTGTTGTGCAGATACCTGATAATGGTCCATGGAATTACAACTTCATGGGAGTGAAGCACACTGTTAGCATGAAGTACGGGGTGAAGTTAGGTACACCTCGGGAGTACTACAATGAGGATCACCGACCAACACATTTCCTGGAATTCAGCAATATGGAGGAAGGTGATACTGCTGAGGCAGATCGGGAAGATACATTTACATAATACATTGCCATTCAAATATATGTTGGTAAGATTACCCTCAGGTCTTTGGGAAGTCAAATCAAGTGGTGACTTTGTTGTGGTATGTCTCAGCTATAGTCCATAGTGTAGTGGCTGATGATATTAGATGGAACCTACAAGTTGTAAATATATGAAATGAATTTGTAGCTTGATGCCGCTGTATACTTTTTATCGAAGGGCGGATGTCGCGGTTCGAATTTGTGGTTTAGCATTTAGCTCGCACCTTTTAGATGCGGCAAAACAACAGATGTTTGTACACTAAGAGAAAGCAAATCGTGTTTTTGGTGTTTTGATTTTTCCCTTAATCCTGTTGCTGTAGTAGCCTTTGCCCAGCAGTGGTGGAGGCACGTGGTGGCAAGCGGGTTCAACTGAACCCGCTTCATCAAAAAAATAATACTATGTATATGTATAAATTAGGATTAAAGCTGCGTAAATTTTGTATAAATATTTTATTTGAACTCACTTGACAACTATTTTACTACTAAAGTTATGTAATTCTAAGATTGAACCTGCTTGTACAAAATCTTGGGTATGCCACTTATGCCCAGAGCAATGCAACTGAACAGTGTAAGGTTTAGAATGTTAATGAATTAAATGCTAGTAATGTCTTTATTCATATTAAAGGTTTGAGATATTGCATAGTTGCATGTTTTTCGGACATGTATAACTCCTGAAAAAGGTGATATTTGTCATATGCTCGTCTCATTTGAACTTCCCTTTGTATCGTTTACAGCAATCTTTACTAATTGTGATTTCTAGCAGCTGACTTGTATGGGAACCTAAGGCGTAATGGATTTGATTATTTGGCAGCACAAATTCTTGCAATTTTCAAGAAAATTGTTGCATGTTGTCAAACAGATGTACGTACGTTGACGTTAAGCTACAAAAGATTATATGTCGGTGAAGTATCTCATGGCATGTCCTCTCCAATGCACTTTTCTCGAATAAGTTACGAAGACATGTTTAACTAGTTGTAAATCAAACAACGCCCATAGTTATCAAAACAAAATTAATTTGTACACTATCTTGTGATACTTGTTGATTAGTTTATCTCCTTTCTAAAACGAGCTAAGTTTCTTGCCTCAATGAAAACAAAGATCCGCGACTGGAGGTTTATTACACCACCAATCCGTTGGAAAGGCTTATTTCTCGCTTGGAGTCAAGCACGTAGCAGCGGGTTGAGCATACAGTTAACTGGTCAACTGAACCGTGCATTTTCAACACGGAGCATAGATAAAAAGTCTACTATAATTTCATATAAGAAATTTAAATTATGGGATTTCAGAAAAAGTTAAACTTTGAGCCCATAATAAGTGTAATGATTCAATAGTAAGAACCTAACATATTTAAATCTTGGATTCTCTCAGCAAAAATGTCAGCGACTTAGGGAGGCCACAATAATACTGTTAAAGATGTCGGAGCAGCTTCCTGCTTGTATTAGCTGTCCAGGATAGTTTCCAAGAAATTGGATGGAAATGTCACTTGCAAAGGCAAAAGCTATGCATCTCAACTTCCACAACAATAATCTGAACATCAAATATGCAGAACAAAGCAGTCTCTATTTGCTTCTACATCGACTCAGATAAGAAAAGTGACAAATAAGAGAAGCCGGTATGAGTGGAGACAATCAATTCCAACAGTAATGTTCAGATCAACATCAATATCGAAATCAGGAGAAATAAGCAAAGATTATACAGACACTTAAGAAGCAGGAGAGGGAAGCGCATCATTTCATCAGTTTCATTGTGTTTGACCTTGCTTAGTCGAGAAAATTAGGGAAGGTGGGATAGTTCCAGTTCGACAAATAGGTTGTTAGATGCTCACATAGGCCCAGAGATACATTCTGGGATGGAGTAACTTACTCTCCGAAAAACATATGCTAGAGAAATGGCAAATCCATTGGACATAACCTTCTACCAAAACTTACTATTGTAATGTAACACACAAAAAGAAACAATATCATAAATTCACTTCAGTTGTGTAAAGAGAACTAAACCACATGATTGCTCTTCTCCACAGGAGATCGGATAGATAGCCAACAAACCACTTATTTCCATCACATTACATGATATTTAAGAAGTTAGAGCAGACATTTAAGCTTTCAAAAGTGATATGAAACATATACTATTCCTATGCGACCTGGAAAAGTATACATGCTTAGAGCTTATTTCTAGCTCAAAGTTGATAGTCACAGAAAAGAATCAAATTTCAAAAGCAAATCTCATTTCGTTCAGTCTGTCAAAGGTATTTCTAAATATACATAAGATGCTAGGAATTCAAGTATGGAATGCAGGGAAAGGACAACTGGATCTCAATAGAGAAAACTAGTTTCAAAAAGATAAAAACATTTTATTCGTTCTACCAGATTCATACCTGAAACAGAAAGGTCAAAGAACTTAGGATTTTTCTTGCAGTTTTAGCGGCAAATTTCTGTCAGTTGTATCATAATGCCAAATCTATCCCTAAAGAATGAGGGCACAAAATCAGCTGTTACCTAAGCAGTTTCAAATTAATCTCCAGAACAACAGCTCGAAAACCAAGCCTTCCAATTACATCATGAAGCCACTGCCAGATTCATCTCCAAGGATCAAATTTAGAAAGACCAAAAGCTGTTTGAAAGGAGCGGATTAAGAAGATAAGTCTGTACCTTTTGTTAGTTCAGTAAAATCTGTCATTTCAGAAGCTCTTCATGCATGCCGAGTTTAAAGTTCCAAAAAACATCAGATTAAACAGACCGCGACCACTCCCCTCCATACAACTGCACACGAACATGTCTGATACGCTTCTTCTGTTCCAGCATGTACAGAAAACCAAAACAGAACAATAGGCATACCGAGCTGTTGCAATAGTGCTGAAGGAGTGGAATGAGGAACAAAACTCCTTTTTTATGCTGAATCAAGGAGAAAAGTTTCTTCATCCCATCCACAGCCTAAAGCACCAAGCACTTTCATGATTTCCTCGATCCTTGAATTAGAGAAATCGCCAATTGTGAACTTTTCAACAGATCCCTTCACTTCAATGAGACTATGACCAGCCTCCTTCTTTAAACCACAGCCCTTTAACATTTTTCTTGCCTCTGCTACACTATCCCACTTCTCGTCTGAAGCATACAAGTTTGATAACAAAACATAAGGTGAAGTTGAAACTGGCCGAAGCTGTAGGAGCTTTTTAGCCATTCTTTCCCCTATTATAACATCACCATGCAGCCGACAAGCTGAAAGTAAGCAACCTAAAACAACTGGATCATGCCCAAAAGGGTATCTTTGCATGTATTCTTCAGCATCTTTCAGTCTCCCAGCTCGTCCTAGTAGATCAATGAGGCAAGAGAAATGTTCAATATCAGGAGTAACCCCATAAATCTCGTTCATGGTATTGAAGTAATCTAGGCCCTCATCTACAAGCCCTGCATGATTGCAAGCGATTAGAAGTCCAAGAAATGTGACAGAATCAGGTTTTAAACCGACACTCTTCATCTCCTCGAACAATTTTATAACTTCTTTTCCATGGCCATGGTTAGCAAATCCAGCAATGACACTATTCCATGAAACAAGATTATGACAAGTCATTAGCCTAAAAGCTGTATATGCATACTGAATACAGCCACATTTAGCATACATGTTCACAAGTGCATTGCCAACACCAATATCTACACTTGAGCTTGTTCTAATAATATTTGCATGTATTTGCCTCCCAAATTGCATAGAACCCATGCCAGCAGATGCAGAAAGCACACTAGCATAGGTAAACTCATCAGGCCTTCCATCAAAATACTCCAACATCTCTCTAAAAACGCCCAATGCTTTCGAATGATCGTCACAACGAGAACAAGCAGCAACGAGAGTATTCCATGAAATGACATCTTTCTCTTTGATTGATCTGAAAACCTTTTCAGCTTCATCTAACAAGTTTATATTTGAGTACATTATCATTATTACATTGCCTATAAAGGCAGTCCCGTCAAGTTTGAGCTTCATCGTTTGGCTATGCAATTGTATTCCTTTCCCCAAAACATCTGCAGAATTGCAGGTTCCTAATAAGCCCACAAAGGTGAAGCAGTCCGGCACCAACCCTTGTCGGCACATACACTTATAGACTTCAAATGCTTTCTCTCTTTGACTACTTTCTACCAAACCCATTATAATTGCGTTGTAAGAGACATCAGTTAGGTTAGGTGTTCTTGCAAAAACCGAAAGAGCATCACCACATTGACCATTTTTCATGTACATCGATATCAGAGAGTTGGACACAAATGAAATGGACGAACAGCCTAATTTGATAGACTGGGCGTGTATTTGTCTACCAAGTTTCAGGGCCAAGAGGTTAGAACATGAACTAAGAGCACTAGCAAGGACAAATTCATTGGGCTCTAGTGTCATTTGGGAGTAAAGGTTGATAGCCATGAGATGCTTCCCGTCTTGGCTATAACCAGAGATCATGGCTGACCAGGTAACGAGATTTCTCTCGGACATCTCATTAAAAACTTGACTGGCAAAGTTGATATTTCCACACTTGGCATACATGTTGAGGATGTGATTGGATATGACAACGTCATCTCGCAAGCCTGACTTGATCGCCGCAGCATGAAGAGAGAGGCCATAACGGAATGCCTTGGTCTTAGAGCAATGATGCAATAGTGAACCAAGAATTTCTGGTACCATTTACCGCAACACTAAGTGAAGTTCTTACGTAATATGCATTTCTTAAATAAAAAATGTCCTTTATTCAAGAATTTCATCTACAAAAAACTTAAACACGGACGTCTTAGCAAGCAAATACACCTGCACGAAAGGTTCGGTGAATAAGGGCAGAGGACAAAAATGAAACAATTGATGATCATATCCAATTCAAATTTAAGTACTAGTTTCTGTTCTTTCATTATCAGGTCAATCACATGGAAGCCCCACATAACTGCAAATATTTCAAAAACACCCTTCACATAAAAGAAACCATAGTTTATCCAATAAAACCACTTACTCGACCCTTCTGTGTTACTCTTTTCCGTTCTCCATTTTGTTCTCATAATTAACTTCACATCGGCATTAACTCCTAAATTGGTCCTATTTTCCTTCTTATTTTCTCCAAACAACATTACTACACTTCAATAAAGAAAATAGTAACAACCCCCCCCC